AGAAGAAATTAATGTTAGAACACAAACTTACAAGAACTTCAACTTTCAAGAAAAGTCTGTATGGTGAATTTCCGACATCTCTTCTCATGTCTTAGTGGTTAAGTAAATCAGCCGAAGTGTCTAAAACTTCTGCAAAAATCTTCGTGTTTCCATATCGACTTTCCATAAATGCTCTTTGTGTTACCTGATCATATTTTGTCTGGACAACCACATATCTGCAAATATATAATCAAAATATCATATATTCTTATTTATATAATAATCATATATGAATAAGTCTACAAAATAAAATTAATTATGATGTATTCCCTTGCAAGTTGAACAACCACTCACAGACAATACTCTCAAGATGTGTAATGCCCGTGTTTCTAGGCTAGGCATTAATATTGATGTGATAGTCTAGGTTAACCTTTGTAACTCATTTTGAAGAAATGAAAAGGAATTATGTGAATATTATGTGTTTTATGCTTAATTACTAGAATTTAATTAATTAAGAATAAAAATGAGCGTCGAAAATAAATATTAGAAAAAGCCGATATCTATTAAGAAAGTTGTAGTGGTCGTGACAAGGATTACGGATATATAAAGAATACCGAAATCCGAGTTATAACAAAGAAGTTATGACCTGTCGAAGTTTCGCGACAAAACCGGCACGGTGCCGAATGTCGTAAAAAGTGAGTTTTTGATAAACTACTTTTTAGCCTTAGTGATCTAAACGAAAGTCGTAGTGTTCGTTAAACCGAGAGTATGTATAAAAAGAACGCCCAAATCTGACTTCGTATGAGGAAGTTATGATTTTTCTAAGTTTCAGCTTAGGAGTAGACAACTAAAAACTCGAATTTTAGATTGAGTGATTTTTAGCCGACACAACCTAAACGAGAATCGAAGGTATCGTCAATAGTAGTACAAAGGTAAAAAGACAGACGAAAACGGACGTCGGATGAAGAAGTTATGAATTTTTAACGGATTTCCTGTCCCGGTCTGTTAAAAATAATAATATAAAAATTAAAGTCAAAATTAGCCGACGAAGTCTAAACGAAAGTTGTAGAGCGTAATTTTACCTACGCGTGCATATAAAGAACGTCAAAAACGGAGCCCGTATGCGAAAGTTATGGATTTTAGAAGTTTTGCACAAAAATCGAGAAAAAATATCAAATCCGAGAAATTTTGCATAGGTGGACTTCGGCCACGTTACCCTCGCTCAAAACGTGCCACGTGTCCGAAATTGCTGAGTCATCCGAGCAGCTGGCAGACGCGTGTTCGAATCCGGAGAGCTGTCCGAAGTCGCCTCGCCTCCATCCAACGCGTGCCCTCTTGACGTGTCTGAGCCTCGCAGGTGCGCCACGAACCCCCCCCCCCTCCCCGGACCCTAGACTTCGGTCCAATCAGAAGCCTCCAGCAGGGCCCTCGCACGTGCAACCCATATGCCCTCGCTTCGGATCTGCTGACGCGTGGAGACTTCTCAGCTGTTGGATCAGGAGCTTCGCCCCTATAAATAGAAGGGTGTGAGACCACCCGGGGATACTTTGAAAACTTGTCATTTTTAACCCCTCTTTCAATATTTCTTTCATTCCAACTTCCCCCAAAGCCCCGATATTATACCAAACACCCGAAACACGTCCCGAAGTGCCCGAGAAGCCCGAGAAATTTATCTTTTCGGTTTTGAAGCCCGACCCTCGCAGAGCCCGACTTCTCAATAAAACTCTCGGTTTTATTAGAAACGATCGTTTTAGGAAACAAAGTGCTGCCGATTATCATCAAATCATGTGAGTGTGTAGTCACTTTCATCTTACACCTAGACATGAAGTATTTTCTATAAAATACGTGTTATGTGTAATTATATTAAGTGTTTATTTGAGGTGACTGTTGAACAGATGTTTTATACAAGTTTTAAACTGTATATGTATTTTATCTACAAATATGTTGGGTAGAACATGGGTAGACGAAATAGTCGATGTGTGTTAAAATGGTGAGAGGCCTCGATGTTGTTGTTGTTGCTGTAGTAGTAGTAGTCGTCTAGCGGGGTATAGATGACGACGATAGACCTTTCTAGATAGTCCAGTGGCACACTAGCAGGTTCGCAACTTGTAGGTGTTGATGAACTAAATGTTCATTGGCGTACTTCATCCCCCTCATGGTTTCCTTTAGGACATGTATGGCTGAGGAGTCCCCTTAGCAGTAGTGTCCATCCCGATGATATTCCTTAGGCTAGGTCCCTTGTGATAGGTGTTTAGGGACGTAAAGTGAGGATAACGGGAATGGGTAATCAGGGTTATTGTTGATTGGTGAACTTAATAAGTTTATTATTATTGTGGGTTGAAAACCCTATATGCTCACCAGGCTCCCAAGCCTGACCCACTCAGCTTTTATGTTACAGGTAGTGGACCCCGAGCATAGTCGGAGGATGATGAGAGATTTTTGGATTATAGGCCAGTAGTTGTAAATAATTGTTGTAAGGCTTATAATGTCTTGTTTATGCTTTTGATCTGTATCGGAACATGACATCCCAAGATTTTGATATGAAATGAAATTATATATTTCTTAAAGAAAGGTTTTGATAAACTTTTATCATGTTTTGTTTTGGGGACCAATTCCGCAACATCTTTTAAAAGGATTTCTCTGATTTTTATTTTAAAAAGCATAAATTAAATCGGTCTTTTCTGACCGAGAAATTAGGGGATGTCACATGATGTGTCAGCTTAGGTTTTGTGTCTATTATCCTGCATTTGTAAGGTGATTTGAAAGGATCAACAGGCTTTTTCGATCTTGATTCATCACTTGCTTTTTTATTCTTAGCTTCAACCCCTTTTTTATCACCTTCAAAAGTCAAATCATATATGAATATTGAATCATATAAATAATTATCTATTAATAATATATATATATATATATATATATATTTATATTTTATTCATATGTGATTATTGATCATTCCAATCATATATGAATTTTCAAATGTTTTTCCAAATTGTTACCTCCATCATTTCCTTTTGTCTTCTCAACTTCTCCTCCTTTTTTATTTTCATCTTCAGACTTTCATTTGCCTGAAAGATACACATCATATATGAATATTCTATCTATATTCAAAATATTGCATTACTTATTCATAAATGAATATAAATATTTTAATATATTCACTTATGAATAAGTAATGCATAACATTACTTATGAACAAGTAATTCTATCTTTTACTTATTAATACATGAAAAGTGTGTTATTACAAAAATCAATGTAAGCATTATAATATATTCAGTTATGAATAAGTAATGCATATCATTACTTATGAACATGTAATACTATCTTTTTCATTTATTCATATACTATCTTATTCACTTGTGAATAATCAATCGTATTATATTCACTTATTAGTGAATCATCCATTTACCTCTATCATCTGCATTTCCATTCTCAGCTTCTCCTTCTTGTTTATCTCCACCTTCATCTTTATTTGCCTCAGTAGTTTCAACTTCTCCTTGTTTATCTCCACCTCCATCATTTCCTTTTATCTTCTCAGCTTCTCATTTTCCTATATTTCCATGTTCAGACTTTCCCTTGCCTGAAAGATATACATCATATATGAATATTCTATCTTTTTTACTCATTCATATATTGTCTTATTCACTTATGAATAAGCAATCTTATTAAAAAAATCAATATAAGCATTGTGATATATTCACTTAATAGTGAATCATCCATTTACCTGTATCATATCCCTTTCCTTTCTCAATTTCTCCTCCTTGTTTATGTATACCTTCTGAGTTTCCGTTCCCTACAAGATTCATATCATATTATATATTAAGTATAATTAATTAATGAATTATTGAATCTATAATAACAATTTTTATTTGTAAATAAGTAGTAAGTTAATAGTAACATTTTATAAGTTAATAGTAACATTTTTTTATATTCATTCATATATGAAAAACAAATATATACAGTGGCGAATCTAAGATTCAAATTCACAGGTGTCCCATTCTAACTAGATAACAAAATAAAATGGTCGATTTTTTTTACCAGGTCGGGTTATCAATAATAGCATTTAAGTATAATTATGAGATCCAACGTAATATTAAAAATAATTCTAGATATCTTACAGTTGCTCACAATGATTTTTCATATTTCAAAAAACAAGCTAAAATATATCATTGTTAATACTATACTAAACATTTATTCTATATATGACATACAAACCTCTATATTAGTTATAAAGCTAATGAATTAAAACTCAAAAACAAACAGATCGAAGATATTCTATATTACTATTCTAAAGACCAAACAAAAAAAACTCTACTAAACACAATTAAAATCTGTAGCAAAATTAACTAAGTAGTAAAATTGGATTTGAGTAAGACAGTAAAATTGAATTTAAATGGACTCTAGCTGATTAATACATTCAAATGAAATTAATAGGCAGTTCCTACTTGAGTAGTTGTGAGGCAGTAGGCAATAACTTATGCCACTGCTATATGCTGTCAATTCACTTCCAAAATTTCTTTTTAACCTTTTCATATACCTAAAAGCTACCACCGAATCAGAAAGACTCATTTTTCCCCTTTTTTTGACTTAAAACTTAAGAGCAACTACCGGATTTTTGATAGGAAGAGAACCCACCTGATTTTCAAGAACAAATCTACTGGACTTTGGTTATGGTAGACGATGCACGGGAGACATGCAAAAAGAAATAGGCATGTAAAACATGATCGATCTGGCGAAGGCACAAGCAATTGCGGCGGCCGGAGATCCACAGGGATGTAGAGTCGCGAAGACGCAGCCGATGGTGTTCTATTGTCGAAATACAAGTTATATCGATTATTAAAGTTTGTTTTGTGAAAATCATTAGGGTTTTTTTATATATCCTTATTTTTTTCCTATTTTCTCTCACTTTCCATCTCCTAATCTGTTATTTTTTTACAACTTAGAATTGTATATGGTTCAAAATTGTTTATTCAAAAATCTAAGGGTGTCAATCCTAAAAACTTAAGGGTGTCCTTATAAAAAAATTACATGTTCTGTAAAAGAAATTCCAAAGCAAGGGGTGTCCATGGACACCCCTTGCATACATGTAGCATCGCCCCTGAATACATACCTTGAATAACTTGACTGATCAGAGTATTAGTTTTACTTCCGGTCAATGCTGAACCTGTTCAAAATTTAACAAAAAAGTTTGTTATTGTGTATTAATATTTTTATAGAAAAAAGTAAGTCAAAATTTACCTATATCAATATTATCCAAAATAGTTTTCATTTCAGGGTCATTCCAGATTTCATCTTCTTGACTATTTAAACTTGAAAATCCAATGCCAAAGATATTATCCACAATGTTTTCAACAACTTTATCCAACAGATTTTGATTTGTTTCATTTTCAACTAGTCTCTTCATCATTATTTGTTTCTTCAGTCTCTTCATCATTCTCATTTTCATTGATCTCTCCATCATTCTCTTTTGCTTTAGTTCACCTTCCTTTTTCTTTTCATCACTTTCTTTTTTATTGGTCTCTCCATCATTTTATGTTCCTTCATTCTCCACTTCGTTTTTCATCAAACAAATAATCTACTTCAGTTTCGGGTCCATCATTATCATTGTCTTCTTCAGCATTGCCCTCTTTATCTTCATTCTCTTTTTCATCATTTCTTTTGTCACCCATAACTAGTGTTAAATTGATACCTTCAAGTCCAGTTTCATTACTTGGAAATTCAAAAATTTATGTGCTTTCAGTTTTATCTTCAACAATTACATTTGTGATCTTTTCTTTCAAAATCCTGAAACTTTCCTTTTCAAGAAACTTTGTTATTGCATCATTGAGCTTTGAATTCAACTTTTCCTTCGTCCTCTCAAAATTATTAAGCATTTTAGATAATTTTGATTCATATTCCTATGTAATAAAAAGAAATATAATTAGAAATTAATATAATAAATTAGTGTAATCATATATGATTAACATATTCAAAATAATTACCTCAACATAATCACTTCATCTATCACAATCACTGTCTTCCAGATCTATATCTCCTTCAACTTGTTCATTAACAAATTCCTAATTTAATTATCCAATGCCAAATTTACCTATTTCTTGTTCAAATGTCTCTCGATATCTAATCTTCTCTAAACTCCAATAACAAATTGTTAGATGTTTATGTGTTACTGTTAGAGCTTCCGAGTGGATTTTATCAGCACAGAACAACTGACGATAAATGATAATTAATTCATATTCATAAATGAATTTTTACAAAATATAGTATTATTTGTTTAAATTCATTTATGAATAAGTAATGCAAAGCATTACATGTGAACAAGTAATACTATCTTTTACTTATTCATATATGAATATGTGTTATTCAGTTATGAATAATTAATAGTATTAAAAAGTGAATTAAACATTATAATATATTCACTTATGAATAACTTACCACCAAGAAAGATGAAGGTCCAACAAAGTAGCTGGTATCCGAGTATGGTATGTATGAGTTCTTTGTTCTAACGAGACAATCCAAAACATAGTTGCACCAGTCTATGTTGCTGATATATGTTTTTATTGGAATATAACTCAAAGGGAACAGGTTGCATCTTCCCATTGATGTTGACTCACAAAATATGTTAACAAAAGAACTAAAAAGTTCAATTTGAAATTAAAATCAGCTTATGTGGTACGGACAATAACTTTTTTGATTGTATTCAGTCTAATGATTGCTCCTTCTTGAAATTGTTCCTTCCATTCATCATAACATGTATTATCTTTAGGCCATTGATCTATTTATGTAAGTATGGTTACACCAGTTGGGATCCCCAACATGTCATGAACAGACTGTGATGTTACGTTCAGTTCCTTTCCTTCAACATCTCTGACCATTCTTTCAAAATCAAATTTTTGAAGAATATAAAATCCCAACTTCAGTGGTATATCAGTCATTGTCATTCTTAACAGACTTCCAAAACCCATAGATCTTACAGATTCTTTTTGTTGTGTGCTAAACCCAAGGATTATAGAGAGTAATGACTCTGGTGAACATTTGTTTTTCATTGAATAAAATTCCTTTACCACATGTTTTTTTCTTTTCTTTCTTAATTGGTGACTCCTTTTTCTTTGGCTTCTTTGATGGACGACTACTTTCAAAATCTGAATCTGAATCTAAATCTATTCAGACATACATCCTAAATATAGCAGACACTCATCTCATAATCATCGCTTAGCATTCTAAGTTTAAGTTTAGAAATAAATCCTTACTCCTAGTTCGCTTAAACTAATGCTCTAATACCAACTGTGACATCCCCATTTTCACGGCCAGAAAAGAAGAATTTGTTTATGCCTATTTAAAAATCAGAGTATCCTTTTTGAAAAATAGTATTGCGGAATTTGTTCCCAGAAAACATGATAAAGATGTTATCAAAGCATTTCCGAAGAAATGTATTTTTATTTAAAACATTGGGATGTCATCGTCAATACAAAAACATAAGCATAATAAAATATTACAAGCCTTACATTAATTAAACTAGTGGCCTAATACTCTTTGAATCTCTCAGTAGAATGTATCTTTCATATAGCCACCCGTGATACAATAAACTGAGTGGGTCAGGTTAGGAAACTTGGTGAGTACATATGGTTTTCAACCCACAATAATATAATTATTATGTTTAATCATCAAACAGTTAATCTAATTTCTCATCACCATTATATTCTTTATTCTTAAGGATCTACCCTAAGAATCATATATTCATAATTTATTTATTCCTAAGGATTGTCCTAAGGAGTAGGCACGAAGTCCATCGCTGTCAGGGTTTATCCAACATGCACTAAGTCCATAGCTGCCAATGTTATCTATTAGGTATAACTGCCAATGTTATCTATTAGGCACGAAGTCCATAACTGCCAATGTTCATTTATAAGGCACTAAGTCCATAGCTGCTAGGGTTTTTATAGTACATATGGTGAACACATAGTTCAAAAACACCTACAGGTTACGAGCCTGCTAGCGTTCCACTCGACTATCTAGAATAGTCTGTGGTCGTCATCTATACTCTGCTAGATGACTGGATCGGCTTTAAAGTCAAGGCTTCTCATCATCTTTCACCTCTCATCATCTATATCATCTTTCATCTCTCATCATTCATCTACCCATCTTTACCTAATATATTTATATGTATAAAAATACATATACAATTTAAATCACGTAAAACATGTATAAATTGTTCATCTAGCATAGATAACAGGAACACACATAATAAGCACATATAGCATGTATTAATATTAAATACATCATATCTATGTGTAAGATGAAAGTAACTATGCACTCACTTGTTAGTGAGGAACCGGGATCTGTGCGGGCAGAACTTATGAGCCGAAAGTTATTCTTCTCGAGGCCTTCTGGCGCTCCGGGCTTCACTTCTAACACCTAGGAGGTGCTAGGGAAAGGTTTAGAGGGTTTGGGGTGTTCGGAGAGAAATGGGTGAAGAGGTGTGGAGAAATGAGTGAAAAAACGAGCTTTATTTATAGGATGTCAGCACCGAGTATGCGGGCGTACTGTATGTTACGTTGGGCGTACTCCTGCCACATGTCGCGATCAGATGTCAAGCCGTGGGGAAGATGTAGTGGCCCAGATCTTGCCACGTGGCACTTCGAGGTTTAATCCAAAAATTAATTATCTTCTAAAATCCACAACTTTCGCATACGAGCTCCGTTTTTTACGTTCTTTATATCCACGCGTAGTTAGCGAAGTGATCTACAACTTTCGTTTAGACTCCGTCGGCTAGTTTTGACTTTATTTTTAAAGTTATATTTTAACAGGCTTAGACAGTTAAAGTCCGTTAAAAAATCATAACATTGTCATCTGACGTCCGTTTTCGACTGTCATTATATCGTTGAGCTCCTATTAACGAGATCTTCAATTCTCGTTTAAGTTGTGTCGGCTAAAAATCAATCGATCTAAAATTCGATTTCCGAGTTGTGTACTGCTACGTTGAATCTTAGAAACATCATAACTTCCTCTAACAAAGTCATATTTGTACGTTCTCTATATGTTCGCTCTCGGTTTAATGTATACTATGACTTTTATTTAGATCACTAAGGCTAAAAAGTATTTTGTTTGATACAGACCTGACACAGCCACTTGTTGTTATATGTATATGTTCATTGTATATGGTATTTTGGGGAAGCTTACTAAGCTTTGTGCTTACAGTTAGGTTTGTGGTTTCAAGTACTTCCGGTACAAAAGGGAAGGGCCCGACATGATCGCAGCACATCCACCCATGTTGCGTATTTTCTTTATGATTTGGATTTGTACTCTGATGATTATACTCGTTCGATATACTAAGTTTGGGTTTGCTATGAGTACTTGATGGTTTTTTATTAAATTAAAATTGAAAACTTTATTTAAGATTTTGGGGACGTTACACAAAGAATCCTTAGGGAGTAGATACTATATGGGTGATTGTCGACAGGTCAACCAAAAGTGCCCACTTTATACCTATTCGAGAGAGCTGTTCGGCAGCGAAACTTGTTGACATTTATGTTAAAGAGGTGGTTTCCCAGCATGGAGTGTCAGTTTCGATAGTCTCTGATAGGGACGTCCGTTGTACTTCCAGATTTTGGAGGAAGTTTCATGAACAACTGGGCACACGACTATATATTAGCGTAGCTTATCATCCTCATACTGATGGACAAAGTGAAATAACAATACAGACCCTAAAGGACATGCTTCGGGCATGTATACTTGACTTCAGTGGAAGTTGGGACTCGTATCTACCATTGGCTGAATTTCCTTACAACAACAGTGATCACTCCAGTATTGGTAGACCTCCATTTGGGATGCTTTATGGAAGAAAATGTAGAACACCAATATGCTGGGGAGAAGTCGGTCAAAGAGTTATGGGAAGCACTAACGTGATAATCAAAACTACTGAGCTCATTCAACAAGTACTTGAGAGACTAAAGACTGCTCAAAGTCGACAGAAGAGTTATGCAGATCGACGCCAATAAGACCTTGAGTTCCAGATTGGGGACTTTGTACTTTTGAAAGTATCACCATGGAGGGGTGTTATCCGGTTCAGAAAGCAAGGAAAGTTGGGCCCAAGATTTATTGGACCCTTTAAAGTTATTGCCCGAGTGGGAAAAGTTGTTTACCGTTCGGATCTACCAGATCAACTTAATCAGATCCACAATACTTTACATGTTTCTCAATTGCGTAAGTGCATAACCGACCTGGATACAGTAGTACCATTTGATGACATTCAGGTGGATGAACGTCTGAATTATGTAGAGAAACCAATTGTAATTTTGGATAGCAAGACAAAAACTTTGCGCAACAAAGAAATAAATATTATAAAGGTGCAATGGAAACATCGTCGAGGTTCAGAATGTACTTGGGAACCAGAAGAGGAAATGAAGAAGAATTATCCCGAGTTGTTTGAATAAGATTTCGGGGACGAAATCATTGTAAGTGGGG